TGTCCCAATAAACTAACACTCGGCAGGCGACGCTGAAGCTAGTTCACACCATTTTTCAAGCTCTTCCTTTGGCAACATGATGACTATTCGGATGCTCATTGTTTGCGCCTGCTGGAAAAACAAAACGAGCGTGTAGGTGTGCGTTCAGGGACATCATTATTCGCACTGCCTCGTTTAAAACTAAAACGAATTAGACCGACATTTGTCAGGAGAAGGATAGATGTGGCTAATCTTCAATAGGACCACAGCAGATCAAATCCGTGGCGTGACAAATTTTCATGAATGACGAACTATGCACTGGTTATCGCGGAACGTTCATTGCTTGTGATCATTTGTTGAATAATGAAATGGCTGAAATTGGACGTGCATTCGAGTGTGTTTTTACTTGTTCTGGTTCTGGGAATAACTGTGAGACAAAGTATTATCACTTCCCCGTAGTGGTTCTCATGAGAAGAGGAAGAATTCTGACTGTATCAAATCTCCTATGATACAGTTTATTTTGATCTAAACAAACCACAGATAAAGCACAAAGCTTGAGGACTGAACAAGTCTTCGCAAACCTCGTTGAACTACAGACTAAGGAATAATAAGATAACTGGGGATCAGATGGGTCTGACCATCAGCATTCACTCTAATGAACAGTGCTGCGTCCGAATATCAATGAAAATAAGTTAGGACTTAGATGATAATTTCCTACAGGTAACTCTAAACTTCAGTGTATATTGGGAGCTGAGCCTACTTGTTCTTTTGTTATCTGTAAACACTGACATTGTGGCCGGCGATAATTTCCTACAGGTAACTCTAAACTTCGGTGTATATTGGGAGCAGAGCCTATTTGTTCTTTTGTTATCTCATTAAATTATGTACTAGCAAGTCAATCAACCCTGTTTAATCCCTCTTAAATCCGACTGATTACAGTCCGAATTACATTTAATTAACATACTGCATCCAAGCGGCCACAAAACAGATATCGAGTGGCAAACATTTTAAATAAATTTTATCAGACGCTATTGGGCATTCAACGTTTGAGTTAATAGGGTTTACTGAGGTGGACTGAACACAGCAGTCACATAAATTGTGGTAAACAGATCAGCTTTCTACACATACCGTTGGAAAGAGAATCAAGCAAGACAGTCCCACCGTTTTCGGAGCGTAAAGCTTAATTTTATGGTGCAAAAGAGAACACTGAGTGTTACTTACACGACAAATGGTGGTCTATTGTGGTGCCAGCAAGTATGAATTACCCAAACATTCCACATTTCTCGCATTTCTTCAGTTCCAAAAGTGCTTGCCTATGTTAAGCTGGCATTAGAAAGCGATACAGCTTTTCAGAAAGTCAGAAAATCTCCCTTTCTTTAAAGGGAACATTTATGTCTCGCAGCCCAAGAATTACCGCAGAAACGAAATCTTGCATAGTACTAAAGTAAAGGATAAGGTATGAGACTACCTCTGTTTTTGCGAAATTGACGCAAACTGCTCGGAGTTTCTCATAGGATGTTTGAAGATCTGTTCTTACAGAGGATTATGAGGCATCAAGCATCCGAGTAGCACAACAGTTTGCTTGATATGAATATCCTTCTTCAGCCCGCCCAATACTCAACATGATTCACTAAGTGCCACTCAATCGCTTGAAGGCCACCTGACAGTGACAGAGAAGACTCCGGTTTGACTACGTCTGCACTCGCTACGCAAACAAAAACGTCATTCAAAACCATTGAGACTGTACTGATCAGCCAACACCGCCCCTCTGGCTACTTTGAACTAACTAATAAAACCGGTCATGTTGACTCATGATACAAGTCGAAGTTAGGCAAAGAACGAAGGCGGCGAACGAAGCTTGTTTTTATAGACATTTCTTATTGTTGGTGATGCTGACAAGAAACCATATGTTAAAGTCATACGAACATTACGAGTATATATTCCATGAAAGTGGACGAAGCTATTTGGGGTCAGTGGCTCACGTGGTCAAGTAAATGAGGTTAATGACAGAAAAGTATTCTGACATGGAGTGCTGCGTGGACTAAGTCAAGGTAGAACTCAAACACGTTTATTCTGGACTCAAGCTTATGGTTCATTTGGTGGCCCTATAATCCCCTCTGCGACCGACAGTAATCTGGATCTTGTTAGTTTTCTCTTTGCAAGTGTTGTATAACTTTCAGTGGTACATAGATGTATATTGATTATCATCGTGAAAAAATAATTAACCATATCCAGATACTGAAAAATACCTACCAAAATATCGATTAAACCGTCTGGTGAACGGCTAAAATGGGCCTCAGGAAATCCACCTTCATGAAATCCCAACAAAATAATGAGGCGCCGGTAATTAACTCGATGCTTCAGTCTTTTCTGTAAAAGAAATCAAGTCGGGACTTTACATGTCAGATAAACGTGATTGGGGTGCTGGTAAAGCATTGTCTAAACTCAGGTATTAAATGGACTTACTAAGCTGCCCAGCTTGTAGTGATCTGCAACTGTCACCGAATGACAACCCCTGTAGTCGAAGTTCTGCCAAACCACTACACCAGCTCCATTCCTGTTTACCGTTTTAACTTTAAATTTTAAGTAGCTACTTGAGTACTATTTTTAACTGTCACGCTGATTCTGATTTCATATGTAGATTTTAGTTCCCACAACTAGGAGCTTCAGTGGACACACTATTCAGTGACGCATGCCGAGTGATGGGATATAACTTGTAGGGCGTGTAAAAAATGAAGCAGTTAAAATGTCACAATGTTTCCGCCTTACGTTGGGATATATATGAATAGGTGCAAAACCGTTCGTTATGATCAAACAGCGGAAGAGAGATTAGAAACGAACTGGGATAAAAATATTAGTAGTTACATGCTGAAAATTCAAAAGACTGAAAACCGGCTATGAATTCGAAATGGCTTCTATCTATGGGATCAAATTGGATCGTGGGAACTGCATATTGCGGTCGATGCGCTTAAGAGTAGGTGCTGTGATTTGTCAGAGCGGTAACATAATTATGCTTAGTGAGGATGTGGCCTAAAAGGGAGTAACTGAAATAAGTTTCAGGAATAGTGTTCTGACGATCAAATGAGCTTCAAGGGAACTGCGGCGTTCTCGAAATCCACCGATTCATGATTATGGAAGTACTTAGTACACAGATGGATAGGAAAAACGAGCAACGGACCCAAAACAAAATTTTTTGTGTAAGGCCTTTTGTCAGGTGCAAATAAATGCAATATACACACAACAAATGCTGTAAAGCTGAGGTGATTAAGATACGTGAAAACGGTTGTTTTTATTTCGAATGACTTTAAAGACTTCTGCACAAAAACTGGGGCCCTTTACTTCAATAATCATCGAGCAAGCTTTATTTACCGAACGTCCTGTAGATGCAAGAGATGAAACACATCCTCTCTTTTACAACTGTTATTTCAGTAATTATACTTCCGTCACGAAAAATGAATCAAGACTGACAGCTAGTGGTTACGTGAATGAGAATATTTACCACTTTACACTACCTGATGTGGTGGTAAGTATCAAAAAATATCATGCGTATGAGTTTCTGCAATTCCGTTGGCCCCAACCACCTTCCTGTTTTTGCTTCAAAGGAATTTTATGAAGCCCTCATACATAAGAATAGTTTGGTCTATATGACTGGAGTTCTTCTTAATCAGTATACGTATACACCAATGTTCAACCGGTTTTTTGTGCCTACGGAAAACCCGTGTTGTACCAATATTTGGGGAAACGTTGGGAATACAGTGACGCTGCTTGCAAATGGATCCATCTGGGCTCCCACTAGACCGGAATTCAACTGGTGTTTGTTTACGGCAGCATCAAATTAGGTTATTTTTTACGAAGTCAAGTAAAATATTGGCCGAATATCGCCAAATATTCCATTTAGGATGACAACTAAAAGGCACGTTGCTTCACTGAATACCGGTTACTTGTGTAGGAAGATCATAGTTATTTTATCAAAACTTTGAGTTTACTTTGTGAAAGAGTTCTTCATTATTCCTGCTCGGCCAGTTTTAATGTTTTTATACATATAATCAGAATTAAATGCGTACAAGCGGCAGGATTGCCGCGCTAGACATATGTTTGAAATTTTGGCATTTCCAGCAAAGAGGCGAAATCCAAAGTTGCGGTGTGGAGCTTAGCGACGGAAACATAGATATTAACTTCCGACTTTTGCCCAAATTATTTGCGTCTGATTTTCTACAGATCCCCACTTGAAAACCAGTTTGTGTAGGCACTCGCAAACCCACACTAGTTCTTAGCATGTTCTCCAGGCGTTGAAGGGTGTGTTCCATATCCTATGAATTGTATTATTCACTAAAATTGGATGGAATGACTAAAGTGAACTGAAACCCACTGTGAACAAATTTCTGGAAAACCTTTTTCCAAAACCGCATATAAACAGTAGCGCCGAAAATTTTGCGGACTAGCTGCCCGAACATATAAGCGTGCATACTAACCAAGGTTTCAACAATTTTGAAAATATCAGACGAGAATTTTTCTATCAAGGACTCTGGCATCGGCATACGCACCGGCATATGCATATGGGATGTCTCACGGTCACCAGCTCCTCAATTATGCAACTAGATTTACATTGCGGTACACCTTTGGCAGGAACTTTATTGTGCAGGGTACACTGTGTATACAAGCAAATAAATTGCAAGACCAGCAAACAGATGCAGTAACTTTATCGCACTTATACAGATTATTGCATAAATCTCTAAACTGCGAAAGTTTGATTCGCTTGAGGTAAGTGGATAGATTTTAAAGTTGAACAGACAGAAAAACTCAGAAGGGCAACAAATTTACGATAGAGTAGTGTTAGATATTAAAAAGCGCTGCCAATATTCGCACCACAGTTTTGAATTTTGAATATGAAAAAGGCTAGAAAATGTTTGCTATGAAGTGACGTCACAATTGAACAGATTTCTTTGATGATTTGGAGGTCCAGAAAATCATCAAACCGCCTAAGTATAAAACAAAACTGTCCGGATGCAAAGATGCTATTTTCTCAAGTAATCAGGTGGAGATCCCAGCGAGCTTCATTTTTACATCGCATTAGCAACTCCTAGACAAGGAATCAATTCCCTCTTTTGTCGAGAGGCGGTGTCTCTGAAGTTCTTGGTTTTATGTGAAAGCTGATAAATACGGAAAACGAAGAAAACATCTCGGTCATTCCAACAGCTTCCCATAAAAGGAGAAACGCTGCGATTTTTTTCATGTTGAGACCCGCAGATTCCCCTATAAAATGTGTCAAAATACCCTAGGAATAACATAAGAGAAACAAAGTAAATCAAAATCGAAATAAATAGGTTGACAGATGTGACTGTAAATACTGTAGAGGATTTTTAGCATTCAAGTTATCGTGCCAAGCTTTGGATGACTTATGAAATATCCAAATGTCGGTCAGCTAATTTATCATTGCAAAGTTAAAATTTCTAACAATCTATCTTTACGTAGTTCGTCCTAGTATTCCTAGAAAAACAAAATGTCCTAACACACATTAAAGTTTAGACACATGGAAACGTTTGAAAATGACAAATACTGTGCACATTTTATGGTGTATAACGTTTCATGCAGCAAAGGTTTGCGAAAACATCACAATAGCCGTATTTTCTGGGACTGTACGAACCCTTCAATTGAGAGTACACTATTTTTGACACCATACCACTTGAAATATTAATTATGGTTCATGTTGAAAAACGCCCAGCGTACCTCAAATGCACCAGTTTCGTTTGTTCATGACATTTCTCCAATGGATACAGCAATCTCAAGTCTATGGGTCGATATTCTGGTTTAATCAGATTCCTTTGGCTAATTTCAGGAAGTCGCAAGAGAAGTGTTCAACTCGCCCAACATATCGACCTTGCCGATGGAAAGCGCTGGTGGACTTGCAGTTATGGCTTCCCATTTCGAATCGACATATACCTTCGTGAGTTTATTCTCAGCTGTTGTACATAAACTAGTTAAATATGGTACATTCCGCCAGACATGGTCAGCAGATGCATGCGCTTTTGGAAAAAAGTTAGGTGGAAAAGAATTCAGAGTAATGAATCAAGGAAGTTAGCCAAGGACAACTGATGACAATCATACAGACAGATAGACGGGGGCGGGTGAAGTAAATGTGCATTTAAACGGGAGAATAAAGTAACTGTAAGCCCATATGAGTTGACCTTTCGAAGTAAGCTGTGCAGCCAAATCGTATTTATTATTTTTAACGACATTTAAGGAGGGGATGATAGGTTTCGAATGTATAAAGCCATCATTAGCACTGGGATAAATACCAATTTATTATGATCACCTGTAAGTTGACCCAAAGGTCTTTCACTTGTAAGGCTATCACAAATTAACGCACACGATGCAAAAATTAAAACCGCTGCACGCGCAGGACTGGCTTTTCCTGACAAAAAAATTGGTAATCGAAAATTTTGAAATCCACTATCTCCTTTGGAGTAAAAGATCTTGCTCAGCTCATCCATGTTTTACCTACAAAAGAGATAGCTAAATGAATAACACAGACTGGGAGAACATTATGTTCACAAATAAAGGAACACAACGCTGCTGTCAAGAGGAATGACCCCCTGTCCTTGATATCCATACACGAGGATCAAGAAGGCCACAAATTCAACCTGGAAAACGCGAAAATTTTGGCATACGGAGATACGCGACGCGGAAGAGAATTTCTGGAAGCATGGTACTCTACGGCAGGTTCAATCAACCGGTGCATCGAACTGGATCCAATTTACGCACCTCTACGTGCGAGAGATCAACATGGCAACCGAAACACTCAAGGAGGACCGAATAATGGATTAACAAACGAAGAAACAAGGAACTCTTCGGAGTCAACTCAATAAAGTTCACAACGGAACTCGGAAGGACAAAGGTCACTCCAACACCTACCAGACTACGGTGGCGAGGGATGCCAAGTTCAAAGGTCACGTGGGCGTCGGCGAATGAGGACATGGGATAAAAGAACAACCAGTGGGACCGCCCGACGGAATAACTAAGCGCGGTCAAAGGTCACCCTTGGCTACCAGCACGTATATCAACACACTCGTAACACTACTGAACGCACAGCCACTAACCCACCGCTATGCACAACTACGCACTGATGATGTCACCTCGATTGGTGATGAAACGTTTGCAACCAAATTGCCCAGCTCAGCGAACAAGCCAACGACCATGAATAGCACACTTTGCAACACCAAAAATGGTACTTCACGTAAATAGCATTTAAAAACGTTTGAGAAGAAGTTGCCACATGCTGCCTGCACACACACATACCTGCCTCTGGCAATATGTTTTACCAGGATTTTACACGTGACCATTTTATCTTGCCACATATGCAATGTTGCTTTCCACTCCCTGGCTGGAATGAAGAGTTTTAAAACGTAGGCCATCACGTCTTCTTAGCAAATCAGAAGACAAATTTGATTTTTGACGGAAATCTGTTGACCTCTTGAGATATAACTCCAAAAATGTTACATGCCCTTACACGTTTCTCACTTCTCCGCATGTTCCCGAGTACGGGAGATAGGTTCAAGGATCACATGATAAGATATACATTTGATGAATCAAAATTTATCAATTTGCAGTAGTGGCTGAGTTATGTAACCCTGTTGCGAAGGAAGGGGTCGCGATACTTTCTTCCGAAAAATCCAATAATCAAGCTTTAAGGGTACCAAATTTTATTCAAATGAAGGAGAGTACTTAAATGACGCCCTCTTATGCACAAAACTATGAAGATAATGTCAAAAGAAGCCATTTTCCGAGAAATTCATACATTTACAGCGATCAGTGCAAAAAGAGCATGAGCGGTTGGCATCTCCGCTTTCTTTCTCGTTCCTTGAATGACATGGCCTTATAAGTTTTGGTTCGATTGTGCGAGTGTTTGATCGAAGGCTCAAGTTTATCCATCACTTCCGGTTACAAACTTTGCGGGGAGTTTGAGATAAGCGACGTCTGTACCTTCTTCTCTGTACACTCACAGTTGAAAGAGCCAAAAGCACGCATAGGATAGAAGAACCTTCTGATGAAATTGAACACTAATGGTACGACAGCGTCCTCATCGAACGCATGATATCAGTGTTCAACACCGATGCTCCACTGCCAGAAGAACAAACGTGTTTATATATTCTATGGTAAAAGGCCAAAGTACTGCAGAATAAGTAAGTAAGGGAATAAGTGACTGATAATCTCATAGATGTTGAGAGTTTCTAGCACTGGAACCGATTTTTACGTTTATTTTACTATTGAAGGAAGCGATTAACAGCTGTCCATGGGAGATGCTGAAATTTTTATTCGATTTGTTTGAGGTTGATATCAGATTCACATCATTTTGATGCATACAACAATATGTACGCAATGTTAGCATATGCAATTTTTTCATCGACCATTATATGGTAGCACTTAATGATTTGAATCTGTTTTCTTCGTTTTATCCATCTACAGGGGGAGATTATGGCCATGAGTGTTGGTAAACCCCTGCACATTTCCCACTTCTTGTTGGCCTTTTTGTATAACACAGGGTATGTAACATCCCTCAAGATGATTTCAAATATCAAAAACGGCATTCTTGTTCCTTATGCGAAATTTTTCAAGGGAGAAAATTTCGTTGAAAAAGCAATGATAGTATTTTCTACAAGTCTAGTTGCATCAACTTTATACTTCGTAGTGACAAGTAGAGCATAAAATACAGTAGAATACACTAACGCCTCTTCCAATAACCACGAAAATTTTTATTTCGAAGAACGGCAAAATAGTGTAATATTTGGGTGCTACAATTGTATTCATTCTATCTTTATTGTATTATGCAATGATTTTAAAATACACTAATCAACTACTACTAGACACGATGTAAAAAGGTTGGTCGATAAAACTGGATAACAAATGACACAGAAATTCTGAAACCGGATTTAAACAAGTTTTCTGTCAGCGTTAGCCGAATGCAGCGTTTTCAATATATCAACCTATTTGCTTCGTTCTATACCAACAAAATAAGTGACCATGTTTTTATCCTAACTTTTATTCTGATTATGAGTGGCAACTGGATTACAGGGTTCACGCTGAAAAACGCTGAAAAAAAACCAATTAACCGGGACGAATAGAACGTTCACAGATGGAATTGTCTGTCTCGAAAAAGTATATACTTGGAACAATACATGAAATTCAAACACCACTGAAAGTAGCTTAAAAAGACTTATTATCAAAATTTCTGTCTTAAATAATGTACCACAAAGTAAGTATGGATAAGACTTAGATGTCGGTTGTTGCTTCAAACGGTACTGTTGACAGATCCTCTTTCTCGGGATACTACATTCAGGACTGCCAAAGTAGTCAAGCCCCTGATTTGTTGGGCACGAATAAATACCAATAAAACGCAAGCAAATCTTAATAGCGGAACAAATGTTACATTTACCTGGTAAACATCCAATTTAGATAGAACACTGTTTAGAATTTTTTATAGGGTATTATACTCTTGTGTTGTACTGAAAAAATGGAAGCATAAGATGGTGCACATGATTTTGTGCCGCAAATCTAGTTGCTTATTATTAGTCCAGTAGATAATGTCCGCTAAGTAGTTCAGGCTTTAATAATAAGTCTAGTGTCATTTTCTCAAGAATCCTTCTCTTTTAACCAGCTGAAATCATGCTGTGAAGTTAGGTTTATGTAAAACGCCGAATCACCATCCATAACTGAATTTCTCGCACCGGAATTGTTTTTCCGCTTCAGCTGGTATCACGTCAGTGATGTCCATGCAGCCGCACCTACTTGGGGAAAGTCTGCAGGTGAAGAGTTTCTGACAAAGTCTTGCTACGAATACGTAAAACTCAAACGAAGCAAGTGAGTAGTGGTTGCCATTTTTTCTACGCACACAGAGCCGAAACCTGGCTGTGATTAGCTCTAACCATTCCATTCATAATCTTGTCTTTACTCCATTTTTCCTGCTGGCTAGTTGCGGTCAAACCTTAGATATCTGTATTTCTGTATGGGAAATGCAAAACGTCTGTTGAAAAACCAAAAAGTGCCTTTTAAACATGTTATGAATTACTCGAAATTGAAATGACCACGTAGTGAGGCACGTTTTTCTCAATCTTATGCCAAACAAATCACCACACTTGGGTTATTTATTGTGAATGCACTTTAAACGTTTCTACTACAAAGTCTTAACACGAGTAGCTAACAGAATTCATTTTTGCTCCAACATTTCTGATTGAGAAAACAATGCCGTTGAAGTTGACCTAACTGGCTACCATACAAACCTTATGAGTGTTCTTTTTAATGGTCATACTAAGTCGTAAACTTAGTATTAATTTTTATTGACAGTCTTAGTACGAGCCAGATAATGTGCAAAATTTTCTTTTAGAAAGTCAGGTAAAATAATGTCATTTTGCGTTCTATTACTCAAATTACTGAGTAGAAACCGTCGTAGTGGGTAGAGCGAAGCAGTCCTGATTGCAGAAGAAATGCGATAAACCTGTTATTAAATTTACCCTGGAGACTCGTACGAAGGCCAAAGAACTACATATGGACTATTTCGATGGGAATTATATATGTTTATGCCTACTTACAGCGTGTGTGGTTGAGCATAGTTTATCTACTATCTTCCCCAAAGCTACTGCAGAGGTCTTGTTACAAAATGCTCTCTAATATTTGAACTTGGTGTTTAATGTCCGAGTTAAATGGTCCTCGCTGGCCATATGTTTGGTTTCCGTTTGTACGTTCTCAGTAAAATTAATTTGTAAGCGATGGTGTAGAACTTGCGGAAACATTACTCTGTTGAATCATAATCCACATATCTTGACAAAAGTAGTAGCAAACGCGTGTGGCTGGTCAGACGCAATACTTTAGGTGAGTCCAAATTGGGTTGTTGGAATGAGGTAAAGGTAACAAGCCGCCCAGATATCGTCTTAAACCGGTTCAACCTGATCTGTTCGCCATAATCTAGCTTCTATGAGAGCGGAATTCATGCTCAAAGCTTCGCATCTTTGCTGATGAAGAGCACCAGAACAGAAAGGCAGCCATTTGCACAGATCTCCTGCAACTACAATCAATAAACAAGTTTTTCTTCTGTGTACCCATATCAAATGTAACTTCTGCTCATCTGCTTGTGAAACCAGTTTAAGTAAATTAAAAAAAATAGTAAGCTATCCCCCATGGGGCAATACCACTCTCGGGTCTGTTGTTCTTCTTCGACAATGTAACTTCTGCTCATCTGCTTGTGAAACCAGTTTAAGTAAATTAAAAAAAATAGTAAGCTATCCCCCATGGGGCAATACCACTCTCGGGTCTGTTGTTACTTCTTCGACAGCCTGCGACCGTTTCGCTTTCCTCTCGGCCCACATGGCGGGTGTAGTGCACTAAATTTTTATAATTATTATGCTTTAATGGAATTCACATTGGAAGTATTTCACGGACTGTTCTGTCTAAGAAACTATTTTGTCCTTCATTTAGCTATATAAATATCAGACCAACGCGTTATGATTTCCAGTGTGAGTCGGAAAGAGAAGACTACTCTAAATAGATTACACCCTCAGTGAAAGTTAAAATTAGCCGATTTATTTTTGGTGAACGATTTGTCATAGCTAATCTACTTTTTACACTATTCCCAGAAATCAACCTCCAACCCCGTTCTGTGGCTGGGAAGAAGTAAATGCGCCAGCCTGTCTGCCAGACCGCAGCGGTTATGGGTTGTGTGACATAGTTAAGATGAGACCTTCTACGCCTTTGACACACACCGTCGATCCACCAGAAACAAACGTTCACTACCGTAGTGACCACTTCGGCGGACCACGTGTACAGTTTAATTACTGTCCAATTATTGAGGTAAGTTGAATAAAAAGAAATTTATAGCTCCTTAGAACCTATGTGTTGCTCTTCTGGCTACCTTGTTTAAAATTGCTTGAGGGTGCGTGGTGTAGTGAAGTCAAAGATTACATGGTTACCGCCAGCGCTAACGGTACGTAATACATAGGTCTCTTTGCTTCCTAACAATACAGTCAAAAAAGGGAATAAAGGCGTAAATGTTTCACTTCAAAATAGTGTGAATTTTTCATTTACCTCAACGACGATTGACTTATTAACTCAATCACCTGCAGTCGACAATTTTGTCACAAAACGATCACCCTTTGATAAGAGCACCTTGTGGGCTAGATAGCCTGTCAGGCTACTAACAAATGAAGAAATAACGAGTTGAATTTTTTTCAGAGATGGTCACTGAAATGCTATTTTGGCCCTTTTAAATAAGACGGTACGAGTATGCACGCATAAACAACGTTCGTGTGCTACAAAGTACACTGCTTCGAGATGACTGCGACGTCATTTTCACATTTGCGCTGTTAGGCTGGTCACTCTGGAATTCCATTATCTCGTGCATATTGCGGTTTGTCTATTCACAACTGTTGCTTTACCTTTACCTTTATTAATATTATTTTTGGTTTCATACTTATAGATGGATATATTTATGACTGAATGGCATAGTATGTATATACAAGTATATATATATATTCATATAACTCCGGGTGGTGCTCCAAATGAAACACAAATTTCCTTGGTGTAACACACAAACTTCACAAACAAATTCACGCCAACTCAGCTGACGTAAAGGTTTACAACAAGCTCCATAAAAGAAGCTGGAATAAGCTCCCATCCACGAAAGCTCACAAAGGAAACGCTTTCGGGTTAGGAAGCGCTTTCGGTGCTCTTTCCGAGGCCGGGAAGGTATTCCTTTCTATCAGCTAGGATTATGTGGATATGGTGAAACGTTTCGCCCAATTTTCGCATCAATAATGAGTTCGATCCATGTTGCTACGAAGAGTTGTCTGTTTACCGTCAGCCATCTGGAGTTGCTAGAGATGTGCTTTTCAAGCAAGTTCCGGAGACGGTCAGGGGGATTTTTCTGTAAAACAATCGATAGATAACATCCACCGTTTCGTTTTCATCACAGATTTTCAAATTAAGGAGCCGAAACACCATGCAAACCTTGGGCAAATTTTTAAAAAATCAAAACTTCTCGCATTTTGAAACTCCTGCTCACAAGCAGACTAAACCCATTCAATCACGGTTGTTAAAGATGTTGCATGAATTCCATCCGAATAGGAAATTACATAGGGAATCCTCTATTCACTCTGGACTGACTGCATAATGTTACTCTATCATGGACTTTTTGTTTGTTCTTGATCTTCTTTTGAAGTCGTTACCTGGGAAGCTTTGAATAAGATGCGGTTCACCCATGATTTTAATAATGACACAAAATTGTAGGTTTCTAATGTTTTGCCTAATGCATTTGCACGTCCTCGATGAAGAACTTAGGTACACGGTATTGAATGAATTTGCTACTTCCATGACCAAGTATTGATTTGCACTATCTATGTGGTTCTTTCCGCAAGTAAAACTGCCATGATCGAAGATGGCAGATTAGCCAAGTCTGTTAAAAAATAATAAGACGAAGCTTTGAAATTATCACTCTTGAACAAGGGGCTATCTTCTATGAGTTCTAGAAACGGAATGTGAACGCAGTTAATATATTTCGACATCACTTTTGTCTTATTTGTAAGCAAAAAATGAGAAATTTATATTCTGGTTGTTTCAAATTTACAAACATTTGGAGGAAACTAGGTTGAATTTCTATTGTTCAGTTACCTGTCATCTTTGAATAGCACGGTATCAATGGAATAAGTATAGAAGCATACTTTATACTATAAGAAAAATTCATACCCAGGATGAATGGCACCCCAGTTACTGTAATCAAGCTTGGGTTTAGCTTAAGTCAAAAGTTTAGACACGCTGTTGTTTGAAATGCCTAATTTAGCATCATTAATGCCAATGGGTGTTTGAGTTACTAACTGCATTATGAACGCAATCCTTCCATTGTAGCAATCGAAATTGACCAAACTGTGGTATCGAATTAGCCATGTGTGTAACCAAGAGGTTGACACAATTGACGGTGAGTTGATGGAATGTTTTGTCTTAAAATAAAACGTTGAATAACTTGGTTTTTATGACACCACAAGTAAGTCGGCTGAGACTTGATTTTAAATTTACTGCGAGCTCACTAGTTAACCAAGATTCTTTTCGGAATGGGGTTTCCTTGAAGCAGACTGACTGCAATGTAAAATTTGTGATTGAGCAGGGACAATGGCGCTGTTTAAAATATATGACTTTTTTTAATAACAATTCTAGATAATATTGCACTCGAATCCTTTGGAGGGCAGTCAGTATGCCTTGACCACGACCGCCAAGATCCGTGGCGATTTCACAGTGCGGACGGGTTGATTGACCTTGATAATTATGGTGCTTCATGTCATCAAGTAAGTTGAACGCTACTGATCACAATTGATGAAAGTGAATAAAAGAGTAACCGAAACCATCAATATTCTCCACAAATAGTCACACCTGAAGTACATCACTCCACACAGAATAACCTCCTGGGAGTTTTACTTGGTTGTTTTTCTTAAAATAACATGCACCTCAGCATAACATGACCATTGATGTGGTGATACATTGGTAATTAAAAGGTAGCTGGTGAACCGCGGATACATACACTCTGTCCGTTACTTTCAGAACACGATCTCAAAAGTGGTATTAACCGTCATTCATCAGCGAAATAAGAAAGCTTAATTTGGGTTTATCCCTTACGGCAGGTTAAACTTAATGCTGTAGGTGTGACGGGCTAATCAGAGGTAGGCCTGTGTAGACAAATGTCATCGAAAAGCTGACTTACGAAAACAGTTCACTTTACGTACCGACTTCTAAACTCTCAGGACACTTAGATTTCAATATCGCTGTTGTTAACTGATCAAGAAATCCGTCAGACGTCGTCTTTGAGCGAGGAAGGGAAGGCTGGACACACTTGTCTTGCACATCAGGTGACCAGAATTCGAATTTCAGTACACTAAAGGATATGGACTAAATTCAGCTCTCAAAGAGAACAAATTTTAGTCCGTTTTAATCCCTTGTTCGGTGTACACAAATCAGAATATCAAGGCTACGATAAGGGAACTGTTCAAACTCGAGTGATACGGGCAGTGCTTTAAGTCTGTTTATCAAAACATCAACCCTATGATGACCATTTGCGTCAGGCAAACGTGTTCTTCATTTAGGTTGTCTATACAACGCTACCAAGAACAAATCACTGCCTATCTCAGTTCCCGACTAAGAAAATCTTTGAATAAGTTCATTACAAACAGTCAGTTACAAAGATCTGCCAGGCGAAAATGCTGCTCGTTTCGAATACATCAAAAACAATTTCGTCTTTTAAAAAAAAACTTATGGAGACAGATATACGCCTTAAAAGATGTTCAAGCTACGAAGTTCGAGAGAAGTGATTGAAGGACGGAAAAAAGCAAACAAATACTACAGTTTAAGCTTTTGTTGTTTATCCAGTAATTCGGAATTAACCAAACTGATTCCAGTGAAAAATTACTCTACAAATTAGAAATGCGGCTCATGATTCAGGACAGTGCTGGGGCATTAAAGGAAGAAATGCTTGAAAAGTCTTTCATAACCACTTCTCTGCTGTTTTATGGATGTACGTTTTCTACTTGTAACGTGCAACTAACACAAAAATCGTGTCACAACCCCTCCATTTCACTGCTACAGCACAAATGCACACTAGGTAAAGGCTTGCAGCTCGTTTTTGGAAACACTACCTACGTTTGTCCAGTTGAGGGAGGATCAATCAAAATTGACGTTACGACGGAGAAAGGCAAACTACAAGGGTCAGTGCACTGTCCGATCTGTGGGACACTGTGTAATGTGAGTTCACTTAACATCGAATGGTGTTATTCACCCCACTGAATGTTCACTTATAAGGATATTCCGTAAAAGTTCCGCCGGTATAATCCGCAGTTCCTTCAAGGATTCTGGTTGAAAGCAATCTTCCAGTCGTTATCACGAGTGCATAATTATGTTTACAAGTTTCCCATATCCGAGCGGTTGATAATTAACTGGAACCAGTTATCTGGTTAGTTCTACCGTCTTGCTTGTTCCAAAAAATGGCCAAACACTTGATTGGAGGTAACACTTCAGCATAGTGGAATTCCAGTAATCTGTGTAGCGTTGCAATGCGATGAACTGCGTGCATGATAGTGTGCACTAGTTTACGATGATGGGAAAATCAGGTTTTTTGGGTTTTCCAATCGCTCATCACACACACAGGCACATACATGCAGCGACTCGGCACATATTTTCGTTTCAGATCTAAGGGAAATTCATATGCATGGTGTACTTGGAAACACTAATGAAAAATCACGTTATTCCTTCAAAAAGCACTGTATGACTGTTACGGACATCCAGTATGTTGCTGACAATGAGAGTACTCTTTTGATTTTTTTTATTTAGGAAACTGTATGCAACCCATCAGCACACGGAGACCGGATGGAAGAAAGTGTATCCGTAACCCAAGATGTTTTGCACGACATTGAGGAACAAGTGCCCGCTGAACATCACCCCGAAGAAGTAAGTTATTTTCTCATAACGGTTGAGTCTGTACGATATGTATTTGTTTGTTACTTCAAAACCGTACCCTTAGTTCAAGAGAATAAGTGACTGTTGCATCGTGCATCAAGACATGGGAAGCTGTTTTCAAGGTTAATAAACTCATTTTTTGAGTCTTTCACTCGATGGCATTAATCCAGGCAGTAGGTCATTTTCGAATTTATTACGGACGGACTGAGCACTGTTTCATGGAGAGTTCTGATGAGAAAATGTGCAGCGGACTTATTCACAGTAGGTAAGAGAAGATAACGGCCGCATGAGGTGCCCAGCATGCGCAATGTCCGCTGAAAGCATGATGAGGCGTGATGTTGTGTGTTGTGTGATATGTTGATATCAGACATACAAAAAACTATCACTGCTACAAATATCGTATATTCCACAATAAATAATCTCAAATCAACTAGGTCACTCAGTAATAACCATCAGCAAGCTGGCAAGAACAAACAAAATGAAATCTGTAGGGGTGGAACAGACTGTGGTCTACATTCCGAGGATATGCCAGTTAAAACATTGTTTCTGGTAACTGATATACAACATAACAAAGCCACTGTGATGTTACAACTTCTGAAGAATCCCTGATTCGTGGGCACTTTCCTGAATTTGTCTGTGGTTTCCAACAGTTTGACGTATATACCCTTAACTATCGGTTCCAGCTGGTGCACGAATAGGTAAATTCGCAAATTCCACTAACACACTTATTACTGGATGTAGTCCACGTCCCACCAATACTGAAGACGGAAGGCGACACGTTGGGAGAACAGTTAAATATGGACAACATCAAAGAGAATGCCATGGACACTGATGAACACAAGGGGGGATTGGCCAAACTCTTGCGTTTTATAGGTTTCTCGCCTCACCAACATACACGTACCCAGCTACGGGTGAACACGATCTGCTTCAGTGTCGAAGGACGTGGACGTGATTGAGCATGCCACCAACCATGGTCTATTTATACATTTGTCCATAGAATAAGCAGATTCTGAGCCATGTGGTTTGGCGTGTATTTGGGCAATCCAATCGCGAAGACAGACATACTTTTCGAATTAGACGACTGGCAACATAGTATCGAAAATCATGTGCTGATTGGAAGAAGATGATGGAAGGAGGAGATGCACGATCGCACCATAATGGTGTAGCCGTGAACAATGTGCCTGCGTTCTGCATGAAATCTTGACATTGCATGACCAACGAACAAACCAATCGGAATGTTTCAGGTCACGAGATATGTCGGAGTAGACAGCTGATTCGTACGGGGATCGGGTGAAGGCACCAAATTCCGATGCTCGCCCACGCCAAATACATTTCGTTTCCCCCACTCATCGGTTCTACCCGAATGTGCAAAATCATTAGCTCAAATTGTTTCCATCCAATAGGATTCCGAACCATCAGCCGCAACTCATACAGAAGGTGAATCACGTGCAGAGGTGGTCGGTCAGCAGAACGTCCTCCGAAATACCACCGAAACTGAACAGGATCAGGTAAGAATCATAAACCACTGGTAGATGAGGCTGTTTCCAGACTGTTTCGCATCACACGAACCAGTAGCCTACAATCGCACACAATCTAGTTCCGCATGACTGCAAATTTCGCCGCATGCAGACTAGCTTCGCTTCACACCATTCTGTACTCAAATCCAACACTGTACATTCTGGCATGCGTTCTTGTGTTTAGAGTTTGCCAATCCTCGGCAGATCACGAGCGTCACATCTCGAGATGATATTCTGATCACACACGCACATGCACACAGGCAAACACGCACACACACACACACGTACTCAAACACCCACGGGAACTTGACCACAGTGACCATGACTCGGCCCCACATCTAGACCGTTGTACAATTGTCTCAGTTTGTCTGATACGAGCGTCTTGATATGTTGACGAAGGGGTGTTTCGAATCATATAGAATCATATATGTAGAATCGTATATGGCGAGCTTGAGTCCGGGGCGATCAAATTGCCCAGCTCTGTGAAAAAGCAAACGATCATTTCTGGCATGCGTTCCCCGCAGGGTTACACAACCACTTCGGGCAAGTTTAGCCAGATTACACAGCTATTTATCGCATGGCTGAAGCATAAATGATTTCCTCTTCTTGATCTGAAGGAGCACAAAATCTGATAATAGAACAGGTCGCAAATCGCACTTGTGAGTTGCAGGTTGTGGCATGACGAAACTTATATCGTAGCTGATTTGCATCCATTGTGAACGGAATATGCTAACTCATCACAGAGTCATTTGGTTCGCTGGCCACCAAAGACCTCATTTTCACAAATCAAAACATCATGTTTAGGAGTTTCGGGCCGAATTTTGGTTCCATAATCCACGAGGATGTTTGCTCATGACAACATCGTATCATTAGTTTCATTTTTATCTAAAAGAACCGCACCAGAGGCCAGATAGGCGTCTTTTCAAGAGTTACATTAAAGGAGCACAAACTGATGTACGATTCCGGTGTTGCATGTCCCAACGGGTGCTGATGAGAATATCTTAACCAATCACCGCTCTCCTTTTAGGAGACTCATCAGAAAGCATCTATCGCCGAAGAGGATGTGGTAGACGGATCCGTGAGCCAAGAGGAATCTGTACCAAAGCAAAATGCAGGGGTGAGTCCAAGTAATGCGAAATTGTTGCTATTTCCTCCAGTCTTCTGTTTTAGATACTATACATAGTTTAATAATCCTCACAATAGAGATAGTAGAAAAACTTGTTTACCTGGACAGCTGCATCGTTCCAACTGGTCTCGCAAGAGATTATATATCCATTCGCATTGAGAAAACAAGAGCAGGTGAAACTGTGCCGTGTGAACCTGTGTGAACCTGTGTCGTAGGCGTGATATCAGCTTATTTGTCAATGTTCAAATTTACAATGCTGCAGGCGCGACATATTAATATGGATCAGAAATCTGCGTGCTGCGCGCCGAGGACGTCAAGAGACTTTCAGTGTTTGACCATCGATGTCTTCGGAGCATTGCTCGAGTGTAGCGGGAACACCGGATAAGCAATGTCGAATGGCATACGAAGGAAATAACTGAACTTCAATTGGTGAACTGACTACACTGCGTAGGTTGCGCTGGCCTGGCCACGTTCTGCGTGTGCCAGTCAACAGACGTCCTCGAGGCCTCCTTTTCACACAACCAGGTGAAGGGTGGGAACGGGCCAGAAGCGGTCAAACAATATCTTGGCTGAGAAGCATAAAAACCATTAGCAGCAAACTCAGCTGCGCTGGCCGCTGGCGACCTTCTGAATGGGAAACCCGAAATGGACCACATCAATGGTGAGAGACATTGTCAGACGTGGCCAGTCAAGCTCTTAATGGCATTCGTGCATCAAAGCTACTACCTTTAATGCATAGCTCCATTTGCAATCCCTCATTTAACGGTCCACTGACAGTGCAGTATTTACGAGCCAATTTATCAGCCCCCATTTCTAATGCGCAGTTACCTACCCCACCTCCCCGAATCATCGGTGAACGGAAATGTTGCGGCTACAACCACTGTACGACAAGTACACTGTAGGAAACCACGCGGTTCTGACAGCTGCTACTGATGATAATGACAACAATTTCTAAATTCGTCTTATGGTGCGGCATTTGGAGGTATACTCATTCTGTGAGAAGATGGGAAATACAAGTTCCCTACTGCGAACAGATTCCGCGAAATTCGCCATAAGAATCACCGGTGAGAAAGCAGAATTTCATCACCTTTTTCTACTCCAAGCCGTTACTATTTTAACTTTTATGGAGAGCAAGCTAATTGCTCGTTAGCTAGTAATTTCAGATGGAAAATAACACACAATGTGGGCAAAATTGTATTCGATGTCAATGTTACAGATAGTGAAAAAAACTTCACAGGTTATTTGTCAGTGAATATGACGTTTTATCTCATTGGTTGGAT